AGAGTTTGCTTATAACAACAGCTACCAGTCGAGTATTCAGATGGCTCCATATGAGGCTTTATATGGGAGGCGGTGTAGATCTCTAGTTGGTTGGTTCGAGCCCGGTGAGGCTATGCTACTGGGGACTGATTTGGTGTAAGATGCCTTGGAGAAAGTGAAGGCGATTCAAGAGAGGCTTCGTACAGTGCAGACGAGGCAAGAGTTATGCTGATAGGAAGGTTCGAGATATGTCTTATATGGTTGGCGAGAAGGTTCTGTTGAAGGTTTCACCCATGAAGGGTGTTATGAGATTTGGGAAAAAAGGGAAATTGAGTCCTCGGTTCATTGGGCCTTTTGAGGTGCTTCGGAGGATTAGGGAGATGGCTTATGAGCTTGCGTTGCCACCCAGCTTGTCGAGTGTGCATCCAGCATTTCATGTTTCTATGCTCCGGAAGTATAATGGGGATCCGTCTTATGTTCTGGATTTCAGTACGGTTCAGTTGGATGATGATTTGACCTATGATGTGGAGCTAGTAGCTATTTTGGGTCGTCAGGTTCAGAAGTTGAGTTCAGAGGATATAGCTTCAGTGAAAATGCAGTGGAGAGGTCAGCTCGTGGAAGAGGCTACCTGGGAGACCGAGCGGGAGATGCGGAGCAGATATCCTCACCTATTTGAGGCTTCAGGTATGTTTCTTGACTCGTTCGAGGACGAACATTTGTTTAAGTTGGGGAGGATGTGACGATGCAGACAGTCGTCTCATGAGTTACCATTCTATTTCCCCATTTCTACTTCTTTATGCTTCGTTATCCGTGTTTCATGTGATCGGGTTGATTAGTTTGAGTTCGGAAAGGATTTGGTAAGAAATGAGACAGTTAGTCTCTTTTAAGAAGGTTTAAGTTGGAAAAGTCAACTGGATGTTGACTTATGTGTTAGAGAGCTCAGATGTTAGTTCCAATGGTTCGGTTAACTTCGGGATGTGATTTATGGCTTAGGAGCGTGATTGGAATTGGTTTTGGAGGTTCAGAGTAGAATTAGGCTTGAATTGGCGAAGTTGATATTTTGTCGATTTCCGGTTGATAGTTGAGATTTTGATATAAGGGTCGGAATGGAATTCCGAGAGTTTCCGTAGCTTCGTTGTATTATTTGGGATGTGTGTGCAAAATTTCAGGTCATTCGGACGTGGTTTGGTTGGGTTTCTGATCAAAAGCGTGTTTCGGAAGATTTTAGAAACTTAGGCTTGAATTCGATGAGTTTGGGTAATTTGATGTTGTTTGAGGTGTTTTGATGATTGGAACAAGTTTGAATAAGGTATTGGGTCATGTTTGTGCTTTTGGTTGAGGTCCCGGGGGCCTCAGGGTGATTTCGGATGGTTAACAGGAAGAATTGGGACTTAAGAGATTTCAGAAAATTGCTGCTTTTGGTGTTTTCGCACCTATGGCTTGGGGACCGCAGGTGTGGTGCCGCACGTGCGAGGGAGAAGGCCGCAGATGCGAGATTAGGGCTGAGGGTCAGGAACCGCAGAAGCAGAGTTTTGGGCCGCATCTGCGGAATCGCATATGCGGAAGGGCGATCGCATGAGCGGATTTGGGATGGTTAAGTGAGTTTCGCAGAAGTGGACTTGTGACAGCAAATGCGGTACCGCAGAAGCGGTAGAGGGGTCGCAGATGCGAAAACCCCTGGGCAAAATGTATATATATATTCTTTCTTCACGATTTTTGAAGGGTTTAACCATTTTAACTTCGGATTGAGAGCTTTTGGGCGATTTTGAAGGGAGATTTCAAGAGAACTTCGTTGAGGTAAGGATTTTGGACCAAAAACACACTTCTATGGTAATATTTCATGGATTGGGACTGAAATTTAAGGAATTAAAGGACTAAAAATGGAGGTTTAGGGCTTGAGTTTAAGAGAGCTTAAATTAAGGATTTGAGGGGTCATTTGAGCTCCGATTCTTGCGTTTTTGATATGTATGAACTCGTGGGGAGACGGGAAATCTAATGACATGAAAATATCTTAGTTTCGAGAAGTGGGCTCGGAGCTCAGGTTTTGCTAATTTCGGGATTTTTGGTATTTTCGATTGTTTTTGCTTGGGCTTTGTTCCCTTAGCATATTATGACGTATTCATTCTAATTTTGGTTAGATTCGACGCACGTGGAGGCTGATTCGAGAGGAAAAAGCGTCGCGAGCTAGAAAGTTAGCCAGTTCGAGGTGAGTAATGATTGTAAATGATGTCCTGAGGGTTTGAAACCCCGGATTGCACATCGTAGTACTATATTGAGGTGAGACACACGTTTGATGACGAGCATGGGGTCGTGCACTATTGGGGATTGTGACTTGGTCCATCCTGATTTATGATTTTACTGCGTATTTGACTGAAACTTATTTGCTATAATTATGATTTGGGCTGATTGCCATATTTGGGCTTCGTGCCAACTATTTGAATCCTTTGGGGATTTTTATCACTGTTTCCTCACCGTTTTGACTTATTACTTAAACTCAGTTATGTTATTTTCTACTATTTCACTACTCAGCCATTTTTACTCAGTTGTGAGACTTAAATGATATTTTTGGGCTGAGAAATACTGTTTTACTATTGCTCGAGGAGCTTGTGATGATTTTCGGACTGAGTAAGGTCGAGGGCCTAGTGGTGAGGATACACTGATACCGATATGAGGCCGAGGGCCTGAGATACATATATACGCCACGAGGTGGCTCGATTGATATGAGGCCGAGGGCCTAGATTTGATGCCACGAGATGGCTTTATATTGCGCTTGGGCCGTAAGGGGCCTCTCCCGGAGTCTGTACACCCCCAGTAAGCGTGGGTACCCATTGTGATCTAAGATTGAGCCCGAGGGGCTGGTACTGTTCTGAGATTTGAGCCCGAGGGGCTGGTATTGTCCCGAGATTTGAGCCCGAGGGGCTGGTACTGTTCTAAGCTGTTGCCCGAGGGGCGGTTTTGTTGACAATATGCTTGAGGGGCGAACTTTCATTTGCTTACTTTATCTTAACTATTTGTCATTTACCTTTTTACTGGTTAAAAGAGGATTTTACTTGATTTTTACTGGTTTCGTTGATTTTAAGTGATTTACTGCTTCATTATAGACTGCCTTGTGTTTTATCGTGATTTCTTACTTTCAGTCATTATTTATATCTATTACTCACTGGGTCGGAGTACTCACATTACTCTCTGCATCATGTGCAGATTCAGCCGTCGCTGGTTCCGCTCCTGAGTGCTGATTCCTCCAGTTCCAGGCGGTATTCTGAGACTACGAGGTAGTTGTTGGCGTCCGCAGCCCCGTGTCTCTATTATCTTGTCATTTCTATATCTATCAAATATTTGTATTAGTATTGGATTTAGCAAACTTGTATCTTGGTCTATAGATGCTCGTGACTTGTGACACCCCGGTTAGAGCTGTGTCGGGTTGGATTCCGTTTTTGTTATCTACATTTCCACTATTTGGTGTTATTGAACCAAGTTTAAACTATTTTATGCTATTCAACTGTTTTAAAATGAGAATTTGGGTCAATTGGTTGGCCTTGTCTTCACGAGAGCCGTTATCACGATCGGGTTCGGGGTTAGGGTCGCGACAATTTGTCATCTAAAACCACTAATGGTACGTACTTATAGGATAAATTTAACTTATACATGCTGATCATATAAGGGTTCTGTTACATTATAGTATAAGTTAATTTATTACAATATGTTACTCCCGTCTCATATTATCATCGTGGTTACTAAAAATATATAATTGTCTCAAATTAATTGTCACTTTAGAAATTAAAGATCAAATTGATTATCTTTTATCTTTATTACCGTTAATAATAATTATCTTTGAAGACTACAAACACTTCTGTTCAAATACCAATGAAGAAATATTAAATATTAAGACATGAATAAGATAAAGTAGTCAAAATCTCATAATGTTCTGCACATATGTTCAAGTGGTCTTCTTCTATTTGATTTTGATCTATCCCATAAGTTTACTGAAAACCAAATGATTTACTTTTTTGGTTTAAGGGATAACTATTATATTAAGTTAAGGCGTAGTAGTACAGGGAGCATTAAAAAGCGTAGATACTAACCTAACACTATTAGAAATTCGGCAAAAACCGACCAAATTTGGTCGGTCAAAAAAACGGCCAAAAATCGATCAAAGTTGGTCGGTTTTTCAAAATATTTTAATTTTTAATTTTTTTTTATGAAACCGACCAATCGGTTTTCTTTGACGCAAAAATGCGGGAAACTATTTTTGAGTCCCGCGAAATTTATTTTTCAAGAAACCGACCAACTTTGGTCGGTTTTTGCAATTAAAATAAATAAAATTAATATTAAAAAAATCGACCAACTTTGGTCGGTTATTTTCGTGCGAAAATACAATTAAAGAATATAAATAAAAAATAAGACAATCTTAAAACAAAATGCACCAACGGTCTAGTGGTAGAATAGTATTCTGCCACAGTACACACCCCGGTTCGATTCCTAGATGGTGAATCTTTTGATTATATAATTAAAATACCGACCAACTTTGGTCGATTTTTTGTGCAATATTTTTTTTTGAATTTAATTGACCGACCAACGTTGGTCGGTAATTTCCGATCAACTTTGGTCAGTATATTAAAACGACCATCAAAAATACCATCCAATCGTATTTGGTCGCGTTTTAGTCTATAATTAGACATAACCAACAAAAGTTGGTCGGTTTTTTTGGTCGGTATTTACCAGATTTCTAGTAGTGTAAGGGGACTACCAAGTAGTGGATCGTTACAGGGGGGATCTAGGGAAATTACTACTACTAGTAACATCCATATTTCTGAAATTACAAACAGGTTGTCTAAGAGGAGCTTGTGGACAAGTTGCGTGTTGTAGAGCTGATGGTGCAACCCTTCTAACAAAAAGTATGCCTGAGCGATCTTCCTCCAGAGCTAGTTGTACAAAAGACGGTGGTTGTGCAAAAACAGTGATACCTGCAGTGTTATCCATATGACATCCATTCTTCGCTAGTATATCAGCTACTTGATTTTGCTCCCTGTATATATAAAGTATGACAGGATCATCCAGCTGCCCGAGCAAAAACCTACAATCATATATAAGATTAGTATATAAAGGGTGTCAAGTCTGTAATGTATGAATTACTGTTTGAGCGTCTAGGTTCACTTCGTTAGGTTTATATCCATGAATATATGCCAATTGCATATACCGCACGTAGTTCAGATTCAACACTCCCATGCGAGAAATAATGTCCTGAAAAGCCGATAAGCCAGTTTCTGAAGGAGTTACGTATGACACAGCCATTCCCTCCCTGGCCGGTATCTCAGTGGGCTGATCCGTCAGTGTTTAGTTTGAAAGGAGTATTGCTAGAGGGTTGCCATTGAAGTTGTATGGGGATATGTTTATGCGAGGATGGTGGTAAGATAGCAATATGGAAGAATTCGGCCGCCATGTTGAGGATATGAGAGGAAGAAAGCGGTTTTACTGTTGAGTGAAAAACAATAGCATCAAGATAACCAAATATGCCAGAGAGAGAACGGTATGAGAATGGAATTTAGGATATTTAGGGAGTTAGGGGCATCGTTATGTAAGATAAGTTGTTTAGCCACTAAAAAGGAGAGTCGTCAAGTCCCTGTAGTTCAGCAATTTTCGGGATCATTTCGAGAAATGAAAACCAAATGATTAGTTTCACGGACAATATTGGTCAAGTTTCCAGCAAAAAATCTTGGGCTAAGATCTGTAGGCCATCCAGAGCAAATTTTAAATTACTTGAAATCTACCTTTCAACTAACACCTTGTCGAATATGAAAACAATATCAAGATAGGGTAGATATAAGTTTGTTAAATAAAAAGGGTACGGGTTTAATGAAATTGACTTATCACCAAATTTCTTTCTAGAGAATGAAGGAGTGTGGTCAAGTTTTTGGTAAGGAAATAAATGCTTTTGATGGATAGCAAAAACAGTTTTTTTTTAGGTATTAAGTAGAAAGTAAAAAGAGTATCATTCTCCCTAAAATAAGTGCTTTGATTTTTTAGGACAAGAGTACCCATATGAAATATATCCTTCGTCCCAATATATCCTTTAATTTAAAAAATGAAGGACTTTTAAATTATGATTTACAATAAGCCTTAGATATTTGTATAGCCGTAAATCATCTCATTAAGGGTAAATTTGGAACTTTGAAGCTAAATTATTTTAAAATATAGAAAGATAACATTTTTTTGGGATAGATTAAAAAAGAAGTGTGCAAGCAGCAAGATAAAATAGAACAAAGAAAGTACTATTTACCAAACTATTTATACTAAGCTGTAAATTTCCCCTATGCTATACCTGGTGCATCGCAGGCCTAAAGTGTGAAGCAGGGCTTGCGCGATGGTTGTGCCGTACACAAGGGCTTGCCCGCATGATGCTCACACGGCACATGCACTAGAGTGTGCAGCTGCAATTTTCTGCAATATTCAACTTCTTTCAAATGCGGTCAAACTCATTCGAGCCTGTGGAGACCAAATAAAGCCACACCAAAAAGTTCCAAAAACGTATACCAACCTATCCAAAGTATCAAAATATTATATAAAGCAGAAATACTCAAACGGGGGATTGAATGGATATTTAATGAACATTAGTCCATTATGGAGTGCCTTGAGCATATTCTCCTCCTATTGGAATTTTATAATATAGAAAGTAATCGAGTCTGTATCAACTAGATTAAAGTATTTTGATGGCTTTCATAGTGTTGAGTTATATGTATTTTAATGATCAACAAATGTGCAATGCACTTGTGCTTAGAACCAGAGTCACACAAGCGAAGTTGGTCACTTCTTTGGACGGCTATAGCTTGTGGTAAAAGAATAAAGATATTGTTGTGCGATATTTTAGGAAAAGATCTATATACATAGAGTTGTAGTAGGTTAGTAATGTATACATAGAGTTACCCAAAATACTCTTATTATTCATTGACATCACATTAAATTTAGGGACTTTTTTGTCTTTCACCAAAATCCCCCTTTTCTCGAAAATTCCTATTGTTGTCTTGAAGATAAAATACAAGGTAACTGTTTACCGTGAAAATGGTAATAACAATTAAATTTGTTGATAGGACTCTAAAAATACGTGATCTGTTTTTATGCTAGTTGTTTAAGTAGTTGATGCTAGGTATGTGAAGTTCAAATATCGGAATGTGAAGTTCAAATATCGGAATGCGAACTAAAGTAGAGTTATGATTAAACCGGGGAATTGGCTATTCGGGCCTCGGACTAACCGAAGAGGGGCCTCAAGATCGATGCCTGGGCTCGGGCTCGAGCTGGACGGTTTGCAGGTCCTATTGCAACGGTTTTGTTAGCTGTAACAATTTAATTGAATTGAAAATAATGTCCCCTGTTGTAAATAAAGATTTACATATATATACAATAAACTATAAAATACTAAAATTTATATAAATAACATCCGACAAGCTAATAATAAATCCATAGATAGTGATGAAACCAATAAGTACATACATTTGATATTTCAAGATCAAAAGTTTTAAAATGTTTTGATAACAACCATTCCTAGAAACCGCCACATGCATCTACAACAATCAACAATTTAAAAATCTCTTAAGTAAGGTCAAGATCTTCATTATTGCCTCCGCCTTCCATTACTTCATCTACTCCACCTACAAAAGAGTATAAATAAAGTCATTATCCCTTCAAGAGAATCCTATCTAAAAATTCTCTTAGATACAACAACCCAAATGTTACTGCTATCTACAAAATCTCAGGTTTTGCAGTAAGTGGTGTGAATTGTGATATTCCAATCACAATTCTATTCTTTTGGTTTTATATTGTGGCAATCACAACTTTATACTAGGAGACAATATAAACTAGTAATGGATAGTCTTTTGTTACATGTTCCAATTGATATTGTACATAAATATTTCATTGATCTTAAAAGTTTCTTCTTTTTTTGCCTTCTTCTGTAATTGAAGTTTTCTGTATTCATTTACCAAATGTATAAAATTCTCTTTGTACTTTCAGTTCAGTTATACACTGCAGGAGCTGCTCTTTCTATCAGGCAAACTTGAGCTAGTTATTCAAAAGCTGCATCATGTGATCTTTAAAACTTAAAAGCATATATCTTTCGTAACTTAAACAACTTCAAGATAATAAGTAGGCCACAGATAGTGAAAAGGGAGAAGCATGCCAAATTTCTAACATTGCTAAAAACCAATCACATTGAGATCACTCACCGACGTTTACTAAAATATATCCATTCAAATCAAAAACTGCGGCTGGTGCAAAGAAGTCAACCCAAATGTCAAGCTTTTATAACTACTGCACTGGCAACCGTTGAATTACTCCTATACTGCGAGTGCAAAAATATGCTAGAGCAATTGTCAAGAGTGCATGCCGTGGAAACAACTACCTAACAGAACCACCATGGTTCAAGACATTATTCAAGAGGCACCCAGCAAGATAATTCTAGATGTGACTCGATTTAAGAAATATGGTTATCCAAAGTCTGTCCTATCTCCACATATAAAAGTGGATTGAGTACACATAGTAAACTGAAGCTAAGCTAGAATAATGTCAGCTAAGTTCCCATGTAAACTGGTTAGAATGTGGTTTCTTTCTTTTCATTTTGGTGTGGAGTACTGAAGATGAAATATACCAAAATTTATATTTTCAACATTGCCAGAAAGAGAGAGAGCAAGAGAGCGCACAGAAAAGCAACATAAAAAAAGAGGAGTAGAAGAGGAAAGAGAAGACGTGTAACATTTGCTATGGAGTAACCTTGATTGTTACTGCCAGCGGATGGACGATTGATGGTTGAATAACACCTTGTTGTGCAGAAGCAGCTTCGCCAAGTGCGTGCACCGAATATTAGCATGTCAGGATCAAGTCTTAAATCGGGGTTGAGACGTTGAAGTAGTGTAACGACATTCATTGTAATATCTTGTTCCATAGCATCCTTTTGTGCATTGAGCTCTTCCAGCAATTTTTCCTTTTGTGCATTGAGCTTTTCCAGCAATTTTTGTTGCATCCTCTCTTCCATTTCCTCCATTTTTTGTTCCATTCTCTCATCAGTAGCATTTACGGAGGATCCAAAATCTCCTTTTTTCTTTTTTAAGACAGTTTTGTTAACTCCTCGTCCATACAATCTTACCCGACCTGGGTGCTCAGGTCCTATGACTGATGCAAACGCGTCAACTGAATCACTTCCATTTCCACTTTCTTGAGTTGACTGTATTCTCTCCATTTCAGCCTACAAACCAAATGCAAGAGAACAGAGTTTAAGTAAATAAAACTAACTCGATACTTAAGAACAAATAAATAATCACGATAAACTTTAAATTAGAAATTTCTTACAATTTTACTAATTGTATTCTCATAAGAGTCTTTGTATACTCGACCAGGTTTTCTTTTTCTTGTAGCCACAAGATGTCCTTACTTGATAGAGTATCCAAAGTATCTTATCAGCCATTTCCTTCTTTTTTTCCTAGTAACATGAAAACTGGTATAATAATTTTTTCATGCAAAGTTAGAAAGTTCATACTTTAAGAAAAATAAGAGAAAAAATCAAACCTCGATGATTCGAGCAAAACTTGTTTTGCCAGCAGTGTGTGGATGCTTCAACTTTTTTCGATTCTCGATATTGGTTTCAGTCGTTTTCTGCAAATAAACAAGCAAATAAACGCTTATTGAACATTAGGAACTTCAAACCTTGACATATCTCCAAATATCATTTTTTGTATCTACTTTCCTCCAATCAAATACAGTAAGAGGACAAAAGGTCTCATTCCTTCCCAATGTGCCGAGGAAGCTACCCAACTCTTTCACAACTTCATCAGTAGGACCAATGGGTTGATCGAACTCATTTAGCACGATTATTTTATGGTCCTTCCTACCGTGCACACTTTGCATTTGAGTAGGGCCTCTTTTTCTTTTTGGCGCGGAAGGGCCTGCACTAATACAAAACAAGGATAATCACCAATCACTACTGTTAGTTAATTTTATAATTAAAATTTATATATACTTGCCTGGTTCCTCGGATTGTTCAATTGCTTCATGATTGGTAGAATCTTCAGATGGTTCATGCACAGCTTGTGATGTAGGAGTGATGGAATCCATTGGCACTTGCCGCACTTGTTCTTGTACTCCTTGTGCTGTAGAAGAGGTAGAAATCAATGGCACTTGCCGCACTTTTTCTTGCAATTGAGATCTTTGCGAAACCTTCTCAGCTTCTGATTGTCTTTCTTCATTTTCATGAAAGGTTCTTTTTGTTGTCAACGATTGATTTCGCAAAAATGCAAGTGATCGAGATTCTGATTCTCTTTCTTCATTTTCATTAGACCTTATAGCTTGAGAGGTTCTTTTTGTTGTCAACGACGAAACCTTTTGGTTTCGCAAAGATACAAGTGATCCAGCTGGAATGCGGTTGGATATTTTTTTGTTTTTGCTGGAGCACCCTTCTTGATTCATGACTATTAAAATCTCTGCCAGATCAAAAAAGCAAACACGACATAGTATAAGATGAGTACATATTAGTGAAAAAAGGAGATACATATCCTCTGACAACTAATGCTGTCGAGAATCTGCTGAGTGATATAAGATTTCTTAGCCCTAGGTTGAGATTGAGCGGAAATTGGAGATATGATATTTAATTTCACATCGAAGGCTGAATAATTAGAACGTGAACAACATTATATATTGGTTCAACAAAAGATCATACAAAATATTATTGATAGGTCTAATACTGAAACAAATTTGCATGACAAAAACAAACATATTTATAGATTTTAAGATATGTGCACTATCGTGCAAAGAATTCTTAATTGTCAATACAATTTAATCGGTTATAACATATTACCACTCTATTTTTAAGGTTACCCTGCTATTAGACTTGATCCGGAGACTAGCATGTTGTTGTGGGTCAATTTAACATGTTATTGTAAAAAAATTACATTGTTGTTGCACAAACCATTCTATCAAGTTCTCTACATTACTATATTATTTTTCTCTGAAAATGGTAAGAAGATAAACACCAAAAAGGAAAAAAGCAAAATAGTCATCTTACTGTAGCAATCTTTCCGGAACATAAAGAGCATATGGCAGAGGATAGTCATCTTAAAGAATCAGAGGAGTAGAGAAGAGAAGAAATGCTTGATTCATATGCATGTATATGTTTTCACCAAACAAAAGATCCTACTTCAGAAACACATTACACACAGCTAGCAATCACTTCAGTATACTCCCATATTTAGCAAAGGTTAGATTCTACAAGAAGTCAGTAGTCACATTTATCAACAAAAACAAGGAAATGAAAAACAGATTCAGAGAAGAGGAAGATAAGGTCAACTGGTCATTTTGCTCCATCACCCAATGGTCCCAGGGAACTAGCTCAGAAAAAATGGACCATCCGCTATCAAACTCAAGACACACAACGAATATATGTTTGCTTCAATCTATATATGAGACAGGACAGAATAATTTCCAAATTGAATTGCTTAGCAGATGATCAGTAACAAGGCAAAAATGGAATCGACATAGCAAGTGTACTCAAACATGTGAAAGAAAATCGCGGAGTTAAAGGTTTCCATGGCGCTGATTAAATAGAACCTAATTCTATACTAGTAGAAGACTGCGATGTTCTTATACCAGCTGCCCTTGACGGAGTAATTAACAGGTTCTTCTCATGCTATTTCTACGAAACTAAGTAGTTATTAACAAGCTCTTGTCATTTCAGATTTATGATACATTTAAATCTATTTAAATGGATAATGCAAAAGACATTAAAGCCAAATTCATTGTTGAGGCTGCTAACCATCCAACTGATCCAGAAGCTGACGAGGTCAGTGTTTTAGTTCAGTTATTATATGAAACACAGGACAAGAGAACAACAAAAGTTAAACTAATTTTGTTCATGCAGATTATCTCATGGATTTACAGATAATGAGACTGGAATGGTCAAGGTATGCACAACAGATTTGAGGTACCCAAACATTTAAATGTTTACCTACTATTAAAAGGGTACCGCAGTGTACTAAACTCACACTATACCGACGTTCGTGTAAAAAAGGGGCACAGATTTAGCACCTCATTTCATCAACTACAAACTCAACTTTGTTTGTAACTTTATAAATACATGTTTCTAAAGGTCTTAAACTATTTAGGAACAGGAAATTACAGAAGAAGCCTCAAAACACTTCTCTCAAACAGTAGAAAATACAGGAATTACAGGCAAACACTTCTTTCAAACACTCAATTGGTGGAAATCTTAGCAATACCATTGCTTTGACCAAAGAATTTTAAACAAAAACCAGAAATTTAAGCCTTCAACCCAAAAATTTAAACAGAAACAAATTAAAAAAACCAACCCAGAAATTTAACAAAAGCTCAAGTTGAGCCTGCTAAAACCAACTCAGAAATTTAAAGAAAAACAAATTTAAAAAGCTGCTAAGAATATATTTACCGATTCAGATTTGGAGAAACTCTAAAGGTTTAGCACGCCGCCTCTGGTGCGGCCGATTATGGAGGAGTTGTTGAGCCCGGAAGCGATTTTTGATCGTCGGAACAGAGGAGATTTTCGACTATGGACGAGCCTGGAGGAGATTGTCGATTTTTCGGAGCCTGGAATCTCGATCGATCTCCTCAAAATTTCTGATGAAACTATGGAGGATGAGCCTGGTAATTTCCGATGAAACTAATCGGAGGAGCCTCGTAATTTCCGATGTGAAAGAATTAGGGGATTTTTTCGGATGGAGTTAACATATTTGGTATATTTTAGGGGTTTACACATATATATTTTCGATGAAAACTAGATATAAACTAAAAAAAATAAAAAAAACAGATTGTTGACCCCACCTTATTTTAGCGGGTATTAAAATTTTGGGTGGAAAATAATGGAGAGAACAAAAATGACCGTAACAATACATATCTATTGCTACGGTTACATAAACCGTTGCAATATACACATCTATAGGAACAGTTAGTGAGACTATTGCAACGGTTCAGTTGCTAAGTGTCCCGGTAGTTCCAACAATTGATTGTAACGGACCGTAACAATAGCATACCTATCGCAACGGTTATGGATCCGTAGCAATAAAAAGCGTTGCCATAGCTGCAATTTCTAGTAGTGAGGGCTAACAGTTAGGATATAATTAAGGGAGGCTCTTTATGGCCAATGACAAGCAATAGATAAAGAACAAGTATGAACACAATAAATGAAGGTAATAATCTCGAGAGAGTGTATGAGAAAGCAAAGAGAGTACTCTTCTATATTTCTTGTGAAGCGGATGAAACAACAACGTTTACAAAGTGTCAAGGATCCCGCTTATATAGGAGGGGAAATTCCAACATAGTACAAAATGCATTAATTATAAAGATAGAGGGATGGGACAACTAGATAGCCTTAGGCTCTATCAATATCAGTTGCGTGCCTTGGGAACTCCCCTCTCTCCTATTATAGCCGTTAATACGCACTGCCCC